GTCGGGGTAACGGAGTTCTCGGTGCTGTGCTGAAGCAGTAGGATGCAGGGACAGACCCACGTTCAGTGACACTGACCCCAGTGCGAGTAGGATACATGGGTACACCAGCCAGGCTGCAGCTGGCCCACATTCATGCACAGGGATTTAGACGACTGAGCACGTCTGCTCAGGATGAGACCTCACTGAAACAAGCAGGGAGTAAAAACCACCCTTGACTCTTTGGAGGTGGCAACGTCCTCCGTGCTCAAGATGATACAAGATTCTTCGCACAGACATGCTTACAGTTCTCCACACTCAACACTCCTCCAAGAAACCACACCAGAAGAACAAGCACACAAGACTGTGTATATGGAAAAGAGCCCTTTGTCTTACTGTGTAAGGCACAATCTTTACAAATCCCCAATTTAAGACTGAAAGAAATAGACAGGAGAAAGATGTTTCTTCTGCTACTTCAGAGAGAAAGTCTGGAGCACCCTAGAAGAGCAGAATGGATGGCTAAAGATCCCACAGCCTGGGGAGAGAGCTGCTTACCACCATCTGGAACGCCACAAGGACCACAAGCGGCACTGGGGACTTCTGTGCCTCAGCCACCAGCACGACTAAGTGGTAATCTGATGACAGGCACGTGAGTCCCAGGCACCTGCAGCAGGCTCCCATCCAAAATCCGTTTGGTCACTACCTACTTGGGTGTAGGTTTATCTAATTTGCCTTTTTACCCATCAAGGTAACAAAATATTTTTACTTACACTTCATGTAACTTATCACAACTGAAACATGAGGGGTGGAGAAATGAGGCTTTAAAAATGATACTTCAGAGAAAACCTTAAAATAACCCTGCGTCTCCTTGCTGTCAGAAGTGAAGGTCATAACTGAATGCTCTGCAAAACTAAAACTTTCTTCTTAAACAAGTTCCCATCTTACACACAGACTATTCTCTTTAACTCTCTCTGCATGACAAACCAAGTGTTATCACGGCAATTAAAAGAGCACAGCATCTTTTTCCCTCTCTACTTATTTGTAACAGCAGTGTATCTTATCTTCCTGCTGCTGGCAAAAGGCCACACAAGGACTGGGCAATGGGGGCTCAGCCTGACCCTTCCAGGGCAAGTGCGCTGGGTGGCCTCAGGCAGGAGCTTGAAGAGAAATACAGCCAGGAACCGGCGCCTACCTGATGTGGGAGCTTCGTGTTTGAGCACACGAAGGGGAATCCCAGGCTTTAGACACTTGCTAAGTCTTAGAGCGGATGGCCCTGGGCTGGGCTCCACAGCAGCCCTGCGATGAGGCTGGAGAACCATCACTTCACCGATGCCTTGGAGGACAGGCACGGAGATACCACATGGGGCACTCTCCATTTCACGTTATCTTTTCATGTGTAAGCCCAGGCCAGACCTCACCATCCGGGCAAAGCCACCCCTAGTGCATTCAAACCAGGGACCCGTGTCCAGTATGCCTGACTGGGAAGCACAGGGGGGGAGGGCATCCCTAAGCAGAGGTGGTGCAGTCATTTCTCCACTGACAGTTTCTAGAAGAAACCAGAGCCTACCAAGCTTCCAAAGCAGGAGTTTTGGCTGTGTTATGCCCAAACTTCTCAGTTTATTTGCAAGTCTCTTTCAGTTTATTAGGTCAGTTTAACTGGCAACTGCTGCTGATTTTAAGCTTGATTACAGTCACTTCTACCTGGTGACACAGCCCCAGCTCTGCAGCCATTCTCACCAGTCAATGGCTTCAGAATCGCTAGACCCTGCTATTGGTAGCACTCTTGAGTTTGACCTCAGAGTCAGTTTCGTGCCATAATTTCTGCACTGTTCATTTTCACTGGAAAACTTCCTTGTGTGCTCTTGTCTGCTGAGACCATTTCTCCTGTGTATTGAGCTGAGATATACATCAGAGGCAAGCTTTCAACTTTGGCCCACCTTTAATAAGAAAAAAAAAAGAAAAAAGCTCAGAGTCATCTTTCTGGGATAAAAGTATCACCAGGGACCCTCTACTAGGATCCAGACATGTCTAGGGAGTTTGTCCAAACTCCTTGTGTTTAAGTTCTCTTGGTCATGAAGGACCACAGCAATACAATGATAAGAAATTCCCTTTTTTTTTGTCCCCCTCTTCTTTTCCCTCCATTTTGGGTCTTTCAAATGAGTAAAGAAAAACTCCAGTAAATCAGAAGTCCTCGGCCCATCTATCCTGCATTTTAGAGGACGCTGAGGAGGACTTCCAGCTATGTAGGTCCAGGTAACCTGGCTCTACACATCTGCACCACACAATGTGTACGGAGGCAGAAAAATAACCCAAACCCAAAGAGGGGTAAGCACAAGACCCAGGCCACTGCATGTGCAAGGAACTGCAGCAGGATGGATTTAAGAAAGCGTTCATGCTTCTATTCCTCCCTCTGAGTATTTCTGAATTCTTCCAGGAAGCATCACAAGTGGCCTTGAATTTCTCCAAAGAGAAGATTTATTATGACCTAAAACTCTATTAAAATGGAAGGAAGTTTGTTCTGAGCAAGACATCATTTGCGACAATTAGAGCAGCCGGACTCCACAGCAAGAGGGACAGAGAAACACCAGGCAGCGTGAAGATGCTCAAGAGTGCCTGGGTTTGAGCGTCACGATGCAAAACACACAACACAGCCCTGGATTATTCAGTACAGAGAAGCGAAGCGTTTGTTCCTGCAACAGAGCAACTGCTGCAGAACTCACCAAAAGGTACAGCAAACCCACGTGGGAAGGAGCTCTGAAGCAGGGGGATGGGTGTAGCAGTGTGCCAGGAGGGAGAAAATGCCACACGACAGCTCCAAGTCGTTTAGCTGGTAAGTTGGACAATGGGTCAGGTCAACACTTAACAAGCACCTGCCAGCTGGTATATGGGAAAGTTTTCCGTAACTGTTGTGATTCCACTGGATCGTTAAACATGAGCTACAGTCAGCGTTCACAGGCCATCTACTCACTAAACATCTAAGACAGAAAGGACAAGCAGGCCTGCCAGACTGACCGAGTACAGCTCGTGCCCTAAAGTGAACTGGTACAAAGTTGTCAGAAAACACCAAAGAACACTCTGCCTCAAGTCTGACTAATAAGCAGCACCTCTGATAGGGCACAGGAGCTGCAGCTGGAACTGCTTTGCTCCTCTCTGAATACGTAATGGAGATTTTAAGCAAGACGCAGCAGCAAACCCATCTCCAGCTAGCACAAGGCCCTGCAAGAACCTCCTCCAGCAAGGGATTTTTCTTGCAATGAATTAACAGTAGATTCTTGAGTACGTCTCAGTGATTTACGTTTGTCTGGAAGACTTAGCTTATTTTTAATACTGTAACTGCAATCAACTTCAAAGGAGGCTAGAAATCTTTTTGACTCTCAGGAAAGCGCTGTACACGTGCATCGGTAGGAGTCAGTGGAGAATCTCTGGCTGATGAACAGTTCAGCCCAATCTCTAAGCTTGCCTCCAGCAGAGGCTTCTCTTTTCCCCTTCCCCTTTGCACTTCTCAGTCTCCACAAACCGAAGACACTGCTTTACTTACAAAACCAGCTGTGCCGTTACATCGACTGTGTGGAAATCAGCATCTTTGCAAGCAGCTTTTTGGGAAACAAGAGGCCACACACTCTTACCAGTGAAAGACCAGTGTGGTGGCCCAGCAGATCACACTCATTCAGAGTTGCCACAACAAAGCAGGGTCAGCTAATGCACAGATCAACACAGGGAGCTTCTCAGGTCAGGCACTGATACATACTGTCAGACACAAGACCCAAGTTCTACAGGCTTCCAAACTGCAAGTCTTTGACATTCAGTAAGTGGAGAATCAGACCCTCCTTGCCAAGTCCCGAGCCACAGACTTCCTGCACATGCTGGCAAGACCGCTCCTCAGTCTTAAATCCCCTTTCACAGCTACTTGCCTCGGGGTAGGTACCTGGCTTCAGATGGGATCAGTCCCATCCTGAACCCAGGGCAGAAGAATTTGTGCTCCCAGGCAGCGTAGCAACACATGCAGCTCAGACCTGGGCACAGGGATGGCAGGGCAGGTGAAGACTGCAGCAAGGAGGCATGTCCAGCCAGAAAAGGGTCACCTTGCCTCAGAAAGCGGCTGTTCAATCAAAACTCTTCCTCAAATTCCTCCTTAGCTTCCTCGCAAGCACAGACAAAAGCACCAACCTTAAAATACCAGACCAGCACCCTGCACTCGCACTGCTACTGATGGAAAGGCTGCCAATACTCATTTTCTGCAAGTAGAAGGGGTACTGCCTGTATTGCATGGGAGAGAACAGCAGCGAACTCTGACAGCCCTGAGCTGCTGATGCCTTCTGACAGAAGGCTGCTGTCATTTTCCACAACTCTTGCCCTAGGGTTTACCCTGAGGCAAGAGACCAGCGAAGATTTCCACTCCCCCTTGCACCCCCCCACAAAGGTTTTGACAAAAAAAGAATGATCAAAGAGCCTTTGTGCATTTATAGACCTGTCAATTTTGCTAGAAGATTTAAGGCTTTAAAGAGTCCAAAACATCTATTTGAAATTTTCTATACAAACAGGTTTATAATCTTTCAAAAAACCTAGAAATAAAATATTTAGATTTTTCTGAAGTGAGGTATTCCAACAGCTACAGACAGGAGTGCTGGAGGGGAGGAGGAAATTCAATTCTTAAGTTTGACACGAACAAGTTTTTTTGTTTCTTTTAATTGGCAGAGAAACAAGACTACACAGCTATTTCTCCCCCTGGCTCTGACAAGGAATAGCCGGGATGAGCAGAACAGGAAAAAACAAAACCAAACTTACTCAAGTGCTGCCAGTTTCAGGTTCCTGTCCCACGCCAGCCTGCCTTGCAGGAAAGATTCCCCAAGCCGATGATGTAGCGGCACTTCCCCCCAACATCCTGCCCCTTCCCCTCTGCACATTCCTACTACCTTACGTTTAGTGTCCAAAATCCTCCCATGCAGAAGAGAAGCAGGTTCCTCCACCAGTTCAGACACGACAGAGGTTTTGGGAGACCTCAGCCTTTTTCACAACTTGATTACCTTGCCTTCTGGTCGCTCAGAAGTACTGAGAGCAGTAAACATTCGGCGGCACATTTCTCTCTTCTTTTCCATGTAGTCCCTGTAGCATCTGCAAAGTAGAGCACAGCATGGCATCGTAGGCTGTGGACTGCACACCCAACTGCCAGTGCCACAATATATATTATTTTTTTTTTCTATAGAAATAAATTAGCCCAATGCAAGAGTGTGCTGGTGGCAAAGACACAGCTCCTCCAAGCCCTTCCTTCTGCCACGACAGGGAAAGGAGAGCCGGAAATGCTGTGCCTCATCCCCAGACCTTGAGTCTCTGCTTCACTGGTGACCATTAACTAAGTAGATCATTTGACTTTTGGTAGCCAGATGCTTTCTACACCAGTTTTGCAAGCACGTGACCATGCAGAGGAACCCCCACCTGTGTGCTGCGGTCTAGTTTTGTGTCATTTGTGCCACTCCTCGTGCAAGCTCCCTCAGCACCTAGCAGGAGACATTATCCAGGATATCTACCATTGACACCAAACGTGGGCTGAGGATGGGTAGGAGACAGCAGGGATTTGTGTCTGGACAAAGTGGATGACAGAGCAGACACTTCTTTCTCCATTCTCACTTCCCTGCCAGCACCACATTAGCATGGCAAAAGCTTCCTAGACTGCTCCATTTCAATTGCTACTTCTCCAAGAACAGTGTCCTCCTCTGCACCCTGTGCTCTCACCTCACCAGCAACGAGGTCTCACTGGTGAGGAATCCCTGAGCCAGAGGGTGACTCAGTTTGGGCACCATCCCAGGGATCAATGGCTGCCCACATCGTTGGCTTTCCTGTATCTGCTACCATATAAGGTCAAAAGTAAAAGGTTTTTGCTGCAACACACAAGAAACGGCACGAGTGTGATGTTGGCTAATGCTCTCTCAGTCACCCACCATCAGCACCCCTGTGTCCAGAACCTCAATGTGTTTTGTTCAGTGAAATCCCAGGGCAGCCAGTCTCTTCTGTTAAGTCTCAAACGTTGCCACAACTGTGCACACTGAGTAGGTCAGAGGTGCCCACCTAGACTGTGGATGGCACGCTCACACACCTCTCAGAGGAAGAAACCAAAAGCACCTCATTTGGAGGTGCAGATTCATGCCAGATATCGGAACAATGCCATTTTGTTCTGGATTTGATGCAACGCAAGCCTTCCAACAGAACTGCCAAATCCAGCAGCAGAATTTGCACCAACAGGACCACTACAGCTGGTACCAGCCACTCATTCCACAAAACCCTCACCCTGGATTCTGCCTGTTTTTCCTCTAGCGAAGTTAATGTTGCCAAGAACCTGGTTCAGCTGTTGAACAGCTACTTTGCAAAGTTTTGTTTCAGACAGCAAAAGGTAGCTGTTGATTAACAGACAGCATTCCTGTTTGAAAGTATAAATGTACTCGGTAAGGAAGTGAAAAGCCTCTAAGAACAGAATTTTGATTCATATTCCATTTCTGAAGCATTTGCCAGATCACATCAAGAGTCTTCTCAGGCAAGGCAGTTTAGCAACATTACAGGGTCTAGACTGAGGTGTGGCATAATTAACAACATCTGATAATGTTGTCTTCGTCTACTTTATACTAATTCCACTCTTTGTCATATAAAAGCAAAAAATACACCAATTTTAAATGGCACTGAAGCAGAAACTCCGAGACAACAGTGGCTTAACGTGTACTCAGAGCAGCATTAGTCATGTTCTGGTGGGGCTAGGGCATGACTAAGGCTGGCAGGATTGTGCTCTATTCAGCCTGTGGGTGAAGGGAAAGTTTGCCTTCAGGATTGCTCACTTACTACCTCCAAGACAGCAAGAAATTCACTTTCAAACACTAGTATTTGTAGCATTGTACACCAAAGCACTTGCAGTGCAGAAGAGCTGCTGTAATAAATCAACACATCTTAAAGGAAATGAAAATCATGCTGATTAATCCAGAACACTATTTGCCGGACCGCTTGCCTACCGCATTTCATGGGTTTTGAGGCATTTCAGCAGCCCGTCTCCCTGCCTGCCTCACCTACTCACACAGAGCATAACACACACATCTCCCTCTGAGAAACTGCACAGAAAGAGTGGGTGCTCTCAGCTTCTCACCTGTCACCTGTAACCACTGTGTCTACAAAATGTTTGGATCAGCTGTCCCCACACTACGAGAAACTTCTGCATTTTTCCCCAAGTCACTTAGTAACCCAATAGTTTTGTGTTTTGTCTTTTCAAACGTTTTAAGTATCTTCGAGTGGGTGTTTCCAGCCTGTCTAAGCACTCTCTTTTCCACAGGGATGGAAAGGAGTCCTCTCACCTTGCCCATTTTTTCAGCTCTTCATTAATATCGTGGTTAAACGGTTCTACACGCTGAGCTCTGACGAGGAAATCCCGGGCTTTTATGTATTCTGTCATGCAGAGACAAGCCTACCATTGAAAGAAGACAGATGCATCGCAAGACAAATATAGACTCACTGCCATTCTTCAGGACTGAAACATGCAACCACAAACGTCTGAGGCAGATCCAGGTAGCTCAGGAATCCCCCATGAAAAGATCTGTGCGACAGATTTACGGAGAGCCAGATGCAGACAAACCACCTCAACTGCTGCAGCAGCTTAGGAGGCCTGGCTCAGAATTCTGTGGCTCTCCTCCCTTCCCTTGAGGCTCTCAAGACCAGGGTATTCCTTGATGTGGCCTACCAGAGGAATTTATTTTTGCCCACCTGGCCACACCTGAACAGTGCTTTGGCATTTCTTTGGTCGATCTCCAAGGCGTTCTCGCCGTATGCCAGAGCTCGGGCAGGACATCCCAGTTTCAGGGAAGTAAGTGAGAGATTCAGGAGCAGTGGCACCTTCAACTCATCAATCTGACGCTGCTCTGCCTCACTGGCAGGGCTTCGACCAAGGATGGAGAGTGCCTGAGCAGACACGGGAAAAAGAACTAGCACACAACAAATCTGTTACGGGAAGTGAGAAATCCATCTCATCAGCCAGCTACACCCATGTTTCTGTTTACCTAGGTGAGCTAAAAATAATAATAATCACAACTCAATATACTGCACAGCATTAGCAGTGTGACTAGCCAGCTCAGCCATACAACTACAGGTTTAGGAACCTATCAAGGAACTAAAAGCAGCAGAATAAAAAAAAAATTACACCCAGGATTCGGATTTTAAGTCAAAGACTGAAGAGAAATCCTACAGGGAGAAAGGCAATTTAAATTATTTTTGTTACAAAGAAACAGAGAAAAAGCAATCCAAAATAGAGGGAAGAAAAATCGCAAAACAACTCACTACCTCTGAAACAAAGGCAGATGCATTCCAGTTTGGGAATAACTTGAGTATTTCTCTGCCCAGAGAGGCTGTGGACGACAGAGTCCTGGGCTATCTCTGGCTACGACTGACCTTCCTGCAGCACAGGGCTGGATGAGACAACCTCCAGAGGTTCCTCATCAACCTCAAGTACCCTGTGATTCCCAACTGGAAGGCTAAAAGTAAAGTCAGAATGCTGGCGATATCTCCGTTTCCATCTCA